AGGGTGGAACAAAAGTGAGCTGTGTCAAAAACAGTTGATGAGCAATGGGAGATTCAATATCACAAATGGCAAGCTCTCAGTGTCAACAGTCATTACGATTAATAGCTAATATAATTAAATTAGATCACATCAGGAATTAAGCTAAGAAATCAGATGCCTAAAGCTGGCCCCAGAAGCCTACACACAACTGATAGTATCCTTCCACGGTGGCTCGGCAATGAAATACAGTCCCTGTTAACTCAAAAGATGTAATTTGTAAAAATTGTAAGATGTAAAAAAAAAAAGACCCATCATTGCATGAAAGTAACACTTGTGTGAAAAGAGAATTGTATTCAACCAAGACTCTCAACCATATCCTTCATATTGATTTACGGGGCTTTATATAAAATGTCATCGACTCTGTGGGCAGGTGTCTTTGGAAAGCTTCCTCTATTGATCACATCTCATTAGGACACTTCTCTGTATAACCAAGGGTGGACTCTAAGGGTCAATGCAGCGCTGAAATGGAGCCAATAGCTCAATAGAATCATGATCATGGTAATTACGTAAGAGTCTGGGTTACACAAAGGTAGGGGGTGTAGTGGGGGCTTGTCAAACACTTGGCAGGGAGACTAAATGGGCTAATGGGAAATATGAAAGATAAATGAAAAAGCTGAATTATATTGGGATCATTTCAGGAAAATAATCCCTAACTAAAAATGTTGAACTGATATCACCACACAACTATCTCAATAAAGCTAATGGCTAACATTAAGAACTGTCCCACAACAGCTTCATGCTTTAAGAGTGGAATCTTCATGGTTTTTTTCAGGAAGCTTTTATGCAAAGATCACTAAATTCTGCAAATATGCAAAACACTTTTGATACTGACCCTCGACAAGGAGGAATTTTTATTGGTTTGTTTGGTTTATCTGTTTGTCGGCTGCATTAGTGAAAACTTAGAGGCCCATTTTTAATGAAACATGATGAAAGGATGTAGTCAGGGCCGAGGAAGAACCCATTACATTTTGGAGTGTATCCGAATCAGAGGCCGGCCACACGCATTATTTGTCACTTATGTAAATGTCCTTGGCCGAGCACTGCACTCTCTGAGAGCCCTTCTAGCTTCAATATGTTCTCATTTAAAGTCAGTGGTATCAATTAATGTTTCTAAATTTAATTAAGTTTAAAGGTATTAAAATGTCAACTGCAGTTTCAAGTTAATTACTAAAGTTGAACTTTGACACTTGACAAAATGTATAAGATGTCATCATCTACAAATCCACTTTCTCAGTTGGCTGGCGACTGCTCATCCTTGTGAATATATCAAGACACATTTTGCTGTTAACAATTAAAACTGAATATTGAATGAACTATTAAAGTAGTGCTGTAGGTCATTGTCAGGGCAAATAAAAAAAGACAGCCTGAGAACTTGTCTAAATACCACTACGAACTATAATATGTGTACTCCATTTATGCATTTGGATAGAAACTGACATTTTGCTTTCAACAAAGAATATAAGAGTGGAAAAGAGAGACCTTTTGAGCTGCCATACTTCATTGTGTTTGGGCAAACAATTGGGCAGCTGGAAAAGGGAGATACAGAGCAGCTCTGAATTCTCTGAGAGGTTAAATGAGCCCAAACCTGTTTGTCTTCTGATAGTACTTCTATTGCTGCTCCTGCAATGTGTCTTTATGTCACTCTGCAGAACTTGACCATTATGTTTAGTTTCATCCCAGGGACTTTGTTGTTACCTGGGTCTCTTTATGTCCCTCTTTCTCCTGTTTTTATCCCCTCTCTCATGTGATGCCTCTGCCTCTCCACCAACCCTCCTTTGCTTCAGTTTTTAAAGTTAAAAGTCAGTCATATTTTCCCCTGGTGATTGTTGTCAGACGTGGGTGTCTTGAAGTGTTCAAAATGGAATAATTTAAATGTCATGACATCAGTCACCTTTAAAATATTAATCTGCAGAGTTCCTTAGGGATACACTCAGATAGACTTTGTACCCAATGATTCTTAAACTGACTCTGTACATTCATGATTTCTCCATGTGTCAACGTATGCGTCTCTTTAACTAAACCCAAGGTCATAAAAAATCTAATTATGGCTTTTTTATTTCACTCACTTTTTAGTGTTCTCCTATTATCTCCTGCAGCTATGGTTCAGAAGCCTAAGGCCAGCTTTTAATATTAATTGAGGGTAATTTTTCCTCCCTGCTGTTCTTTAATATCATCCGAGCTAAAAGACGTAATGTTCTGAATTCGTAATGATCAAAGTCTTTCCAAGGAGAAAGAGATGGCAGGGACACAATGAGAGGAATTGAGTTGCTCAAAGAGAGAGGGAGTTACTAATCTGTAATTCTTCCGGCTTTAATGGCTGGAAATTGGTACTATGGCTGGGTATAGTGATTATTAATTGACTGCTACATTGGCCTCTGACAAGGGAATTCTGCGCTTCTGATTGGATAATGGTGGACTCAACACCTGAACGTGAGCCTGAAAACAATGTGAAACCAATTTAATCAGTATATTCATCTTTTCCATTAGAAGTCTAGGCAGTATTGAAGGATTCTCTTTGGATCTCAGACTATCTGCATTAAATTACGGTCTGACTGCCTTATTTTCCATTTGTATCAGAGTACTGATTAAATGAGGCTTTGGGACTGGGCTCCCTTAAGCCATATGGAGACATTTGTTCCTGTCTATCTTCCACAGCCAGGGTGCAGCTAGCGATGCACACCGCCGATGCTGGGGGTAAACAAGCAGAAGCTGCCGACAGTGTTAATCACAGCTTTCCTGCTTCCATGCTCTGGCGTTAGGAAGCAGAGACTGGTGGGAGCGATCATCGTCCTTTTTCTATTGCACTGAGGATTCTTTCCACACCATTAGCGCTCTCTGCTGAGCTGTGCTATCCGGGTCCACTACTGTACCATTACTGTAGAGCCCTGCGAAGAACCATCTGCCATAAGCACAACTAGCTACGGTAAATGTGGTCACATCAGCACATTAGAGCAGCACCGCCATGTGGGACGGGTTGCAGCCCTCTGCTGTACTACATGGTTTTATGGGATATGAGGTGGTAAAAACATTTTTTAGTGCATGACATATCCTACCTCAGAGGACCACTGAAGAACACAGAGTGTAAGAATGAGACAGAGGGCCACATTTAATAATAATTGTATGGCTGTTTTTCAGACATTTTCTTTCCACAGAGAAGCATGCCATATATCAAACTGGTGCAATGGTCTGGAAGAGTGAATGCTTGTCATGTGAAGCACACCTGTAATGTAACCCTCTTTATTTAAGCATGTGCATTTATTGGAGGGTCAGTTTTGTGCAGAAATATGTGCAGTTCATGTCATGGAAGGCCATGGGAGGGATAACTTCCTCTATAAGTGACAGGAAATACAAGATGAACACATCACTAAATATAGTGCAGGGGCTCTGCATTTATTTAGTTCAAAAGCAGGAGTATCTCTTCATAAAAGGCACCAAAGAAGAGATTATCAGTGATATATGGCGACTGGACTCTTTATCAGACATCTACAAATGTGTAGTAGTTTGCAATTAGCACAGGATTCTCTAGAGACTTCAACCTTATCAGCACAGTGCCATCATCACTTGCCACCTGCTCTGGCATGAGCATCTGCTGGAGAGTTTCTGGATTAGCTCCCGCTCCCACAGCAGGCTGCCACTAGTTGCGATGTAGGACATTTAAATGTGTAAAAGTGTTTTTTCTCATCAGTCTTATTTTTTAGGAAAAGAGAAAGGGCTTCCTGCCTTTCTCTCACTTTTTGCTAGCATTTGTTTCATTGTATTTCAGATTTGGAGTTGGTGTTGCCTTCTGTCCACACACATTATTTTTTTTATAGTTCCTATCTATTGGCTTTTTAAGCCTTTAAGAGCAATACATTGCAGAAATGTTACTGCAAAAGGTAATGTCATTATTACAGTTACTACTCACCGCAGACAGACACATTTGGAAGGTAAAGAAAGTCAAATATCAAGCAAATTAAAAAGAGCGCTTTACCAAACCCAAGTACTGTATATCTATGAAAATCAATCTGGGCTAGAATGGCCCGCAAGCGACTCTGAACATGAGAAGGCTGAGCTAAACGCTAGCCGCTAGCCGCTAACAGTCCAAACAGCACAAACTGACTTCACAATATTCACAAGTCGATTAATAATTCATGTTCTGAATTGCATATCGTACTATAAAACAGAAAGAATTGTACTTATCTCGGCAACAAGTTGACATTTGTAAATGTTCTTGTGTCATCAAAATACACATTTATGTAATATTAATTGTGTTAGTGTTTACCTACATAATAAGTCTATCTGCAGGAAGTGTCTCAATAAATGTGAACAGGTGTTGTTGCAGTTATTAGACAGACACTATCAGGACAAGGTAAACCCATTGTGCTTCAGACAGCTTAGTGTTTGTTTTTACTGCTGTGATGAATCCATGTACTGTACAACAAATATTAAGGTCACACAGGTTCAAGGTAATAACTGGATACCAATAGATGAGAAAAACAAACACTTCCAGGAAAAGTGACCAATGTTTTAACTTCTTACTCATAAAGCAAGTGTTATAGCAGTGACCCAGGGTTCAGGAAAAAGTTTCGAGTCGTTATGGGGCATCGCTCAGCCTTTCAGAGACTGCACTAGCACGCTAAGGCCAGTGTGCAAGGCCTTGTAGCAAACATATAAAAGGTGAGTGTCAACATACTAAGATGTACACTGTAGGGCAGTTCATCCAAAATGATCTGGACTGATGAAACCTTCTTAGATTGAACCGAAGAAAAAGAAAATCATTCTATACAATTCAAACCCTTGTATGTCCAGCCCTGTCATTTCCCATAATGACCCTTCAGGAATGATTTCTTAACTGAGGTTGTATCATATAGATGTTTGTATACACTTCATCAATGCTGACCTTGTATTACCAGCATGCTCAGTGACCCTTGTCTTGGCAGGCCTCAGCTGGAGGGTATTTACTGTTGATAATTCTGACTCACCACTTTGAAGTTGTCGGCGCTGCACTCGACGCCTCGGTAGGAGCAGGAGAGCAGCATCTCCTTGATGTCGTGGCCCGTCCGGTCGTAGAATTCACGCATGTTGAAGGGGCGGGGCTTGTAGTTGTCAAAGTTGGCCCTCTCCTTCAGGATCTGCAGGACATGTTCCTCCACCATGTGTGGGTCCCGGATCTCATATCTGGAAAATAAAAAAAATACAAAGTTTTGTGTTTAGTTCTTGTGAACTTCAGTAAGCAAGATGAATACAAACACATGATCTATTTAACCACAATTTAGTTAGTTGATTTTGGAATAAAACCAACAAGTTTACAATGACAATGTTGTATAACTTGGTGGATTAGATATTTTTTCAAATGACTTTACTCAAAGTGAATAGTTTTGACTGCAACAACAGAGTCGACAACATGGCATTAATTTAATTTTCAAAGACACATTTTTTTTCTCCATAAGTCGACTTCAAAGAATTCCCATTGAGAAAAGAGTAACACACAGTTTAAAGGTGGGGTAGGTAAGTTTGAGAAACCGGCTCGAGATACACTTTTTGTTATATTTCATGGAATGCTCTTAACATCACAATAGCAATGAATATCCTAAGTGCTTTGACAACAAATCCATAAAAAAATGTCATCTGCGGAAGCCGTAGTACTGTAAAAAGCACGACCAATCATTTTAGCCGGCACGGCTAAAGTAACTGGATGGCCTACCTGCCTGTCAGCTT